GTGGGGCCTTCCGGTGCCGGGCACTGCAGCCCGCCGTCTTTCAGGTTCCAGGCAGCCAGTGTGCTTTACGCTGTGTTCAGACAACGTGTCTTACGGGGAAGGAGCATCTTCCCTGCTGTCATGTCCATCAGTAACCTTCTAGATCTAGAAGTTGGGTTTTCAGTACAAAAACAGGGTTGTCTTTAAACTTTATTTCTCCGAATCTTCACTGTTGCTTGGCTTCCGACCCGGGCTTTCAGAAATCATTGGCTTTGCTCGTTTAAAGCAAGTGCGTATCAGATAGGCTTGGCGTTGGGTGGACTCACCCTTGAAAAGGCTTCGACCCACACGGGGTCCTCCTTACCTTGCCTCAGGCGAGGCAGAGGGGTTTCGCCGGGATGGACGCACCTCTAACGAGTTGGTTCTTTTTGTGTGTGGTGGCCGCCAGGCCTGGCTGCACCTCCTGGTTCACTCGGGACGTCCCCGGGGCTCCGTGTGCAGCCGCTGTGCGGTGCAGAAGCCGGCCTGTGCGAGCCCCCGCGTGCCAGCAGGAGGCAGGTGTGTGTGGAAGGAGACACGGCGCAGCAGACGCTCACGGAGGCCGAAGGACTGCGGCCAGGCGCCGCCTCGGTCTGTGGGAGAGTTAGGAGCTGAGGTTCAGAGGGTGTGTAGCCGGGCGGCTAGATGACCTCCAGGATGTCTGGGCTTTAGCCTGTGGTTCGTGGAGAAGCATTTAAGGCCCTGGACTTGAGAAAGGCTGACCCTGTCCTCAGAAAGGCCTGTGTCCCTTCTACAGCTGGTGCGGGTGTGTCAGGGCCTGGGTGTGAGGCTCAGAACGGCCCGTGTCCTCTCCACGCCTGGTAGGAAGGGAACATTGAGCTGCTTCAGAGGAGGCTGCGGTTCTGACTGGGGAAGTCGGGCAGGACTGGAAGCCCTCTGGCTGTTCATGGGTCGGGTGGTTCCAGGAGTAGAGACACGTGACTTCCGTCATGGTCGTTATGTTACGTTATGTTTGTAGGGCAGTGTCGTAACCTAAGTGGGTTTCTGTGCATCCGAGGGGGTCAGGGCCAGGACACTATTGAGCTGCACAGCCCCCGGCTCTGCCGCCCACCTCCTGGCTCTGAATCGACTCTTCTAACCCTCAGCGTTTGTCCTTGGTGGTGGGTTTATTTCACTGAGCACGGTGTCCTTTAGCTTCACCAAGATGCAGGAGGTACCAGAATTTGTTCCTTTTTGAAGCCGAGTAATGTTTCTGCAGGTACGGCCATGTGTTGATTCATCTGCCGATGGACGTCAGGAGTCATGAATTTAGTGCCATGACTGTCCCTGCTTTCAGTTGTTTGAGTGGACGCCCAGATGTGGAGCTGTCAGGTCACGTGGCAGCTCTGTCTTTTCGGGGGCCCTCCACTGTTTCCACAGCGGCTGCACCACTTTACATCCCTCCAGCCGTGGCGGGCGTCCGGGCTTCCTCCACATCCTGTCAACACTTTTTTTTTTTAATATATAGAGAGAGTCATTGATGGGCTGCCTCCTGCACGCCCCCTACTGGGTATCGAGCCCGAACCCGGGCATGTGCCCCAACCAGGAATCGAATCTCGATCTCCTGGTTCATGGGTCAGCTCTCAGCCCCTGAACCACACCCGCCAGGCCAGGGGTATTCTTTCCCTTGCTTTTCAGAGAGACTGCGAGGGAGGGAGAAAACCATCGATGTGAGAGACACAGGCTGGTTGCCTCCTGCACGCGCCCCAGCCAGGGCCCGGGATCGAGCCTACAACCCAGCTACGTGCCCTTGGCCGGAACTGAGACCCTTCAGTCCCTGGGCCGATGCTCCAGCCACTGAGCCAAACCAGTCAGGGCTCTGGGTGTTTTTAAATGGTCATCTCTGAGGCACCTGAATTCTCAGTCTGATTCTTGGCCCCTAGAGCTGCTGTTTTCAGAAAGCGGTGTGGGTCAGACCCTCGGTAGGAATAAAGGAAACCGCTGCCTCGGCCTCCCCTCCCCGCACGTGCTCATCTTGAGGCGGTTTTGGGAACACCCCGCACTGCGAGGTGACGTAAGGGCCAGGAGGACGGACCCGTGTCGTTTGGGTGTGACCTGGTTGCTTTGTTTCGCTTCCTTCTGAACCCCGAGCTGAAACTTCACCCGCAGTGTTGGGGTGTTCTGAAGGTGAGGTTGGCGACGGTCCTGAGACACTTGAACACGGTGGCGCTGCTCCCCCTGGTGGCGGCTGAGCGGGGCTGGAGCTTCAGGGCAGGGGGAGGCCCGTGCTGGTGGGACCAGTGCGCGTTTCTCCCGGAGGAGCCGGGGACGGTGAGAGCCCCTTAAAGCGCCCGACGGCGCTGGGGTCTGTCGGAGCAGAGTGTGGAGCTGGGGTGCTCCAGCTACTCGCGGAAATCTCCCCGAGTGAGGAGATGGTAGGTGATGACGCGTAAGAGGAATGACACCGACGACCTAGCGGGGAAACTTCAGAAGCCGCTGGGAGAGCTCACAGGTTTCTGTGGACAGGTGTGAAGCCGTGGCCCTCTCTGCAGGCCTGGTTTGTCGGCCTTGACGACGGGAAGGTCTGACGCACAAACCCTCCATCGGGGGGAGGGTTCTGTTAGGTGATCCCGTTAGCAGCGGTTCTGCTCTCAGGTGCGTTTTCCTCCGTAAGCAGCGCGGCTGTGAGCCTGCTGAACGGAGACCGTGACGTTTCGGAAGTTTCAGGCTGATTATGTCCACATCTCCCTGAGGCGGGCTCAGGGTTTACGATGGGCCCATAATCATATCCCGTGAACAGTTTGACTCAGGAGACCTTGGTGTAGCTCCTGCTG